ATGAATAAGTGTAATAAATATAATCTGTGGGAAAAAAATGTCCAACAAACTTTGGGGTTGAATTTGGGGGGGGGGGGGTCCTGTCCACAAGTACCTGTGGAAATTTCTTGATACATAAACAGAATTTTTAAAGCATGTATTAGACATCTTTTGAAGGGGAGAGGGCACGGCCGTAATTAAAAGTTATATAGAGACTAGGAAGGAATGTACTGTCATTAAATTTTGGTTAAGAACTAAATTACCTAAACTCTTCACTTTCACATTTTCAATTACAGATTTCTTGTTTTTAAAAAGCTATACATGTACATTTATATGTATCTATTAGATGCATAAATTATGTTATTAATCATTTTATCTTAAAGGAAAAGTAAAAAATCTCAATCAAACTTGTTCCGCATATTATGCTCTCTGATTCATTACTCAACAGATGCTTCATATACATGTAAGAAGGGAAGACTGCAGGTGTGATAAATTCACAGCATGCAGCTCCAGCCTTAATTCCAACTTTGTTCCAAAATATTATTATTCAACGCGAAAAATTAGAATTAGCCGATAGAATATTTTGAATCACTTCGGAAATGCTGCCGTAACACCAGACTGAGTTCACAATATCGAGTAATTTTGATTGACAGGTGTAGCGCCGTTGTGCATGGATTTCGTGTAACTATATATACATGCACTGCAGATTGTGGTTGAAAATAATAAACAAACAGATCTAAAGAAAAGATATTGTATACTGTACATATATTTGTTAAGAACCAGTTCATTCATGAAACGAATTTAGTCGTATTATGTGGGCCCATGTTAGATTTGACAGGTTGATTTACTAGTAGAAATTCAATGGACCACAGTCATTTAGGGTATTCCGAATCACCCCGCACATCGCGACTCTCGGTAATTTACCTTACCGCTGTACCTCGCACGACACATGCACAGGTGTGACAACCAACCAGTCATTATTAGTAAGGTCTATACTTATTGCATACAACAAATAAAGAGGTAAACATAATGCGTTAACTAAAAGAATTAATTATTTTAATTCATTAACTTCCTATCCTTTTCGAAGAAAATGCCCGTGTAGAAACGTATTTCTCATCGATGTCGTGGCGTTGTTGGTGGATGAAACATGGCATATAAGGTATCGATAGAACGGCAATTTTATAAGCTTTTGTGAGTATTATTTGTTTTTTATAACACCTCAAAAATATACTAGTTATGGCCGCATTTGTAGCCCCCTACAGTTTCGAACCACGTGTGTACATGCCCCTAGCCAAATAAATTGCACACGCTACATGTATACTTGTTATATGTCAGATTATTATTTTTTTATAACATTGTTTTTCTTAAATGCAAGGGGTATGAAAGTAATGATTTGACAAAGCAAGAGGTATAATAAGACTATCCCGGGTCCCGGTATACACTTGATCAGTGTTGATCAATGTTCATATGTACGAGTACACGTATGCAAATAATTCGATAGCTTTTGAAGATTTCAACATACATTTTTGTAACACGCATATTTGTAATAACCACTTTATATACAAAACAAAATTTCATTCTCTTATATGGTAATATGGACGTCGTAATAGATCTGACTGAATGCTTGACATGCCTGTTTCAAAAACGTTTCCTAAGTTATCTTAAGATAAGCCTAAGTTATAACTTTAGAAGTTCCTAAGATTTATCACAGCTGTATCGCGAAACAATCTTATCTAAAAAAAATTCATGTCATTTCTTAAGTTGTGCCTTTAAGGACTAATAAAATAACATTCCCGCTCTATATACAACTCTCAGTATGGTATATCTTTTTAGATTCAAAAAGGAAGGGTGCGAGGATTGGGGATTGCCCCCACTTTTAAAGGATTTGGACACAAGTATGCTTAACTTTGCGAAGTGTGTTGCTAGATCTAAGCATTCACAGACACACCCTTTCAAGCCATCTTCCCTTCCGAACACACGATATTTGTATTTTAATTTTTAAACATTGTTCTAGGTGTTATACATTTACTTTATTTTGTTCTTAATAAGGTATCTACATGTAAATAAAATTTTAAAATGAATGCTTCGTAGCGAACACATGCGAGTTTATATTTTTCAAACAATCTTTGCCAATTACTACACTGCATGTACACGTTAGTTGTTTGTGCGGTGAAGAGCAACTATCAGAGTACACAATGTATTTCAACATCGAGGTGCCCGCGGCTCTCTGTGGCCACGTGTATGTAAACGAGGACTGGACTACAACACTTAAAGACACAAAGCGGCAGAGATGGATGAAACTGTTTGCTATATTACAAAGACTTGAATTATAGTACATGTATATTTGAAGGAATTTTTATTTATGTTAATGTTTATTTCATTCTATAAATAATAAATGGACATTCACAAGAGTGATGGTAAAAATAATATGTGCGTAGCATGCGTAGTAATTACAATTATTTACCGAATCCCCCATTCAATTACAATTGCAGATGAACACGGGATAGAGCAATACTTTTTTTAAATGTATATTGTTGCGTGAACAGACAAAAACAGCGATTAAAATTCAAAATGATTTTTATGCACCAGTGTTTGGAATTAAGATTATAAAAGATCGGTAAAGTAATCTTACTGATTCGATATAATTAAAAACATAACTTTCCATTAATTAATAGCTCTTTGTACAAAATTGACATTATACGCGATCACAAATACTAGCTTTGTTTATGGCCACAGGTGGCTAGTACACTGGTGACCTCGTTCAACAGCGTGGGAATTTGCGCGTTGGGTTACATAACTAAACATCGAGCTGAACATGGAGACCGTAATATGCATACAGCTAATGATCGTGAATTATTCAATGCATACAGTTTAAAATCACTTACAAAGTTTGTTGTAATAATAAACGTAGAAAGATAGATTTAATATTCTCCGCTTTTGAACACTATTAACCTAATTTAAAAAAGAAAAAAAGAAAGACTAGTTGTAATAAATAATTTAATAGTGAACCATAAACCACGTTTTAAACCTTATTAAAAAGAAAATTAACATTAAATACCGCAGGGTATATTATTGATAGCAAGTCTGTTTAAGTTATACACATGAAGAGGTCTGATTTCCTTGCCGAATGAAAAACGTTACCTGTTTACCTGGCCTGCTTTCTAATACGTATTACGCAGTACCTATGGTATACTCGAACAAAACAACATTTTCATTAGATCAAAAAGGTGTAAAAGAACAATTTTGTTCCCAAGATCCAGATCGAAATTATTACCGTTTTTGAGTTATAAAGCAAAAACTTTTAAGGGCCCAAGATCCCTAATCATAGGGGCCAGCCCCTTTTAAATAGTATAATATGAAAGCCCTTGCAATTATGCACAACTTTTGTTCTACATGTCTTAACAAAATATTTCTAGTTTTCAAGATATAAAGGAAAATATGTCAAATTTTTTGCTGTTTTCCGCGTTCTAACTTTTGACCCCTCTCTAGCGCCATTTTTAATGCAAAAATCAAAAAACAAAAACCGATGTGCACAACTTCAATGCTTCCTCTTTTCAATTTCAAATGGTTTTGTGCTCCAATTATAACCATTTCTGAGCCTTTGTCTGGAAATCGGAGGCATGCAAAATTCAATCAAAGGGGAATAACTCGTGAACAGAAGGTCATTTCCGAATTGTATTACGGTATTCTGACAGTGTTTTGTAAAGTCTAAAAGCTCTGAAAATTTGAACAAAATCTGTTTAAAAATGAGGAAGATATGAAGCGTCAAAGTTGGCGTCTAGGAAAAAAAAAAAAAAGAATAATCTTAATCATTACAATCAGTAGAAGGTCTTCCTTTGGAAACGGAAGACCTTAATAATAATCTTAACCATCAGAATCAGTAGAAGGTCTTCCGTTGGAAACGGAAGACCTTAATAAGCATTAATTCATTCATTTAATAATTTAACAGTATTTAAAAAAAAAAAAAAAAAAATTGTAAATGCACAAGAACCTAGCATCGGATCCTCAGCAACTGCTACAAAACATGACATCTCAAAGAAAGGTAAACTGTATGAAAATTTTTTTTTTACTATTTTGACCCAATCAGATAATTTAAAATGACGATTTTTTATAACTGTTTCATTTTACATATATAGCTGGTGCACGCAGCAGAAGGAAGTTGACGGAACTTGAAGAGGAAAATTTGCAGCTAGATAATGAGAGGCTTCGTCTAGAAATAGACCAGCTCAAAACAAACAAAGAAATCTTGGCACTTCAAAAAGAAATTCTAATACTAAAGAAATGGAAACTTGAATTTGATATACAGGCTCACTATCCCTTTTTCACAGATGCGCTTTCAACTACAAATCAATGTACAAATATTTCTGAGTGTTAATGGTAATGCCATTTACAATCTAATTATAATTGATTAATAAGAACGTTTGATCCGTCGAACTTGGATCACTGCATATCATGTTGTAGAGGATCAAGGGTTGTGAGGAAATATCCTCCAGGTAGTAGGATACATGTATTGCACAAGTTGATAGGGAGAAGAATGTAACAGTACTGTTCATATCATTCAATATGAAATGATATTAAAGTTTTTGACTTAAAAGGCATATGATCATTAATTTTTATATTGATTTAAATTTTCAAATATTCATTACAAATAAATAGTCAGAGCGTAAAAAATGATTTGGTAAATTATGCTTCAACTGTTTTCACTGATGAAATAAACACTATTTTAGACTTAAATTACAAAGTAACTCAAGAGAAAAATAATTCTGCAATTTCATCTCTCTTCCTACAACCGTCATGGTTTCCTGGAATCTGAACTCTGATATTGATACCCTGCGTAACAGCAAGATCGAAACAATTGTCATTCACCGTGATGTCGGATCTGTTAAAACCAATGTTATGCAACATAACGCATGCAGTTATATATTGTATTGCTCTGGAGTACAATACAATCCAAAATGAAGACACTGGAACCTTTTCTTCAGTATCCCGTATGTCTGCTCAATTAAAACTCTTGTGCAGCATTATGATCTATTAAAATTTTCTTGTGCTTCGTTCATGGGAGCATTGTATCGAGTCATCAAGTAGCGCGTACAGGAGTATCCGGAGTCCCCGAGAATCAGTCCGACGTGTACACCTTCAAAATATATACACATTCATTTGTGAGTAAAATATGTAAGCAGAGTAGATTGTTGATTAATTGAAATAATTTCAAATGGGAAAAGGTCGTAACCCCCCATCCCCACCCATTTTCTAAGTTCTGTTGAAAATGCTCACAAAAATGATAATTGCTACACCAAAAAAAAAAAAATAAATAAATAAATAAATAAATAAAAAAAAAATAAATAAATAAATTTCATACTTCATTTTGAGACTTTAAATACCGGTAATCATTTCAGAGGAATCATTTCTTGGCTGAGGAGTGTCAATCCAAATAGAGAATGTATAGTTGTTACACAAGTGTATCTAGGTACAATGTACCTGTTTCAAACTGATGACATAAAGCTGAAGATCGCCACACTCAACTATCGTGCGTTGAACCTGGCCATTTTGAACAGAGTGAAGTTACTCTAAAATTTGGATCGCAAACCATCTACAACATTAAAAGCTGTGAATTATTGTTATCATGTTTACCTTTATTCAGATAATCTGACATAAATTCAGAAAATTTTCAACTGTTTTTTCACTGGTCCTAACACAAGTATTCAACTGGAATTTAAATAGGGCAGAATATCATACCTTATATAATTATTGCTGTTTCGAGGTCAATACGAATACTCAGAGAATTTTTAAATCTACTTAGGTGCCATGTAGAAAAAAATAATGTCAGGCACGAAGAATCAAGTTTGAAGGGGGGGGGGTGTTATAAGAAAAAAAAGACAATTGTGGAGGAGCAATCAGCCTTTCAATGAACATTTTCATTCTTAATTTTACGTTCAGAAATTCTCAAGGGGGGGGGGGGGGTACCAACCATTCCTCACGTGCCTGTGGTGGGTGAGAGATTCATTTCTGCTTAAATTCTTAATATTCCTAGAATTTTGTCTTTGAACCATCAACTTTAAAATATAGGAATGGAATACTCTGATTATCAAATTATAAAAGAATATACTCGTATTGAATGCACCTGAACGTTCAATGAATGGTATCCTTTTCTATTGACAAAGTCAACTTCATTCACGGATGGCATCTTTATTCTAATAAATGTCCCGTCGACACATCCAAGAACTTGTGGAAATCCTATTTTAAAACAAAGTAGATAAGTATTTATTTTATTGTTTATAGATCTGCTAATTCTTCATCTACAGTGGTTATTGGTTTCTAAAATTCGCCGTTTCTCTATAAATGTAAAAATTATCATTAATGTGTGCTTTTATTTCAATTCTTTGCCTTTCATAGGGAAAAATCTTTTCTATGTTTTCATCTTTTCTTTCCCCACGAATGAGCGAAGGTAAAATAACTTTTTATCACTTTTTTTACATGCACAAAAAATATCCCAAGAAAGGGCCTCATGCATCATCTAATTTTAGAATAAACAAAAATAAATAAAATAAATATGAATTAATTACTTTACAGTAATTTATAAAAAAAGTCTTTACTTATACTTAAGTTTTTTTGTTGATGTTGTAATATTCTGTTTTTATTGAAAATAAACTTTATGATAATTAAAGGTGGCGCTTTTGTAGCATTTATTTTCAGGGATGTAAGCAGCCATCAAAGTTGTTGATGGCGTGGAAATATGCATGGTGTGCATGACTTAGAATTAAGGTAGGATATCAAAGTCCTTGAAATAACTGTTGTAATATAAATACCCGCAATCTTTCTGAATCCCTCCATAACTTTATGTGCCATTTCACCTACAGGGAAGATGATAACTCGCCTGAAGGCGCGGATAATTAAGGAAGTCACAGCCCGAATTTCCCTACCGGCAGCATTCCTGGAGATGTGGAGGCTGTCTCCTATCAGCAATTGTGAAGCACCGGTGGCCAAAAATCTCAGACATAATATGAGAGACAGAATCAGGGATAGAGCCATATTCCTCTTCGTTTCGCGTTCTGAACCAAACCGCAATTCCTCATGAATATACAAGATGGTGGGCCTTCTAAAACGGTATCTCTCAAAGAGTTCCTCGTCAGAGTAAGATAAAGGGTCCATCCGATCTCTAAAAACCCGTGGAGCAGGCAGTGCCCTAGCATAACGACGGTTGCGTCGAATACGTTGATGTGCAGCAGCCATGTTGAATTTTCTTGAGAAAATTCTTAAGTATGCTAAGAATCAAACTCAAGAATTTTCTTGACTTGAGAAAAAAATTGTCTGAGAATTTTTTATGGTCAGTAATTTTGCTCAAAGTTGAGAAAATAAAAAAATCTGAGAAAAAATTTAAGTTGAAAACTTTTTCTGTCTGAGAATTGTTTTATGGTCATGATCATGAAGCCAGTTCTGACAATGTTAGCTGCACCTCTCATGCATACCTATTCAATCAACGACGGGTAAATGTAAATTCTGTAAGGAGAAAAACATAGACTTACTTTATTTATTTCATTGCACCACTGTTTAAAATCAATTTAATTTAAATTTGGTTTCAATTTGACTGGGTTCGTTCATAAATATACTAATTGAAATTAGGTTTAGATATAAAAGCAACAGAAGCGACCTAAAAATACCTAAAACCAGGTGTTAAGTCAGTCATCCTTTATTTAACAATTATTTTCGTTAATAATAAGAAGAGAAAAATATATATCAGATGTTGAAATGAAAGAGTCTGAAGGGCGAAAATAAATAGAATCCAGGATATTTTTCACGTTTTGTGACTATCTTGTCGGATTTTATCTACTAGGTGCTTGTCAGGTAGAGCAAGAGTGTCGAAATAAATGGTTCCACCAGACGTCTGATTTAGACTACTGCCTGCACTACGGGAGTGTTCCTATGTCAGGACAGTACAGCTGCCATTTTTGATGTGTAACAGATAGATGTAATGCCGGGCAGGTTCCAGATAAATCCACTTATTATTCTAAAGTATGAAATTATTTATGAGAATAATAAAGAGAATCATTCAATTTTCACATAGGCTCAATTAAAACAGACTCTGAAACCCTGAACTAGTTCTAGACAATTTCTTAAATATTCCATACCTAAGAGATCAGATGAAAAATCTTTAACCAATAGACATATCATCTGGGTTTTCTTATGGTGTGTAACAGGAGAGGAGAAAAATGCAGCGGACCAGACAGGGATTCGAACCCGGGCCCCCTGAATCTCCAGTCAGGTGCTCTACCAACTGAGCTATCTGGCCACCGGCGATCGAACCCGTCTGACCGCCACATTCCTCCCTCCTTAAAGGTCTTTTGCCCCCAAAGACTCCAACCCAGGCTCTTCCCTGGCAGGCCTCTAACCTGTCACTTCCAGGGCATGGCACGGCACCAAATGTAACAGGAGAGGAGAAAAATGCAGCGGACCAGACCGGGATTCGAACCCGGGCCCCCTGAATCTCCAGTCAAGTGCTGTACCAACTGAGCTATCTGGCCACCGGCGATCGAACCCGTCTGACCGCCACAGGTGTGTAAAATGTTTCTTGCATAAGAGGAGCCTCGCAAGTGATTTAAGGCTAGGTTAAGGCGTTTCTATGCAAATGAGCTAATAAAAATGCAAAAGAGGTATATTTATTATACAGAGAAAGCTTAAATTCATTTTCTTATACATACTTAGTTCCCAAGGCATGTTATAGCTAGTGAACATTATGACGTCATATTATGACGTCATTGTTCTTTAGTACTCAAAGTAATAAAACACATCAACAAACGGCTTTGGCGCAAGGGCATACCCTGTTTAATTTTAAGTAAATAATGTATAATACAGCGAAGAATATTCTAAAGATTAATAAAAGTGCTGCACAAATCATATGCACTTTCTCTTTTGATGAAAAATTGGAGGAAACTTACGCTGGACTGTGAATTTTTACCCCGTTTCAACTCAAAACTTACAAATAATAACTAAACAATTGATCTGTCGACATTTGTGCAGCAATATCACAAATCCCTGGAATATTCTGCTTCTCATTAGACCCTGTTTCGGTAAAAATAAATAGGGTATGCCCTTGTGCCGAAGCTTTTTTATTTTTTTGATGTTCTTTATAACTTGTGTAGTAGAGAGCAATGACGTCATAATATGACGTCATAAAGTGTACTGGCTACATGTATCACTTGTCGCGGGTACCAAGTTTGCATAAGAAAATAAGTTTTAACCTTTTCTGTATAATAAGTATAGCCCCTATGCGTTTTAATTACTGTATAGGGGATTAATTTCACGGGTTGTAATTTTCACCATTTTCTCTCCTCTGACGCGGTCGCGGTTTGTTGAATTCGCGAAATTGGTATATATTAAAAGTTACCTCCCTTGTCTATATCCGTTTAATTCATTAATAGCATAGCTAAAGCGGCATTAATCAGCCTTATGTATTCACTTCAGGAAAAACAGGGTATACGTAGGGTTATATAAAATTGTAATATTTAATAATTACTTGACGATTAATTAAAACAAATGCAGTTATTAAAAGTCCTTGATTATAAACGTCGAATGATTTTCCTATATGCTTTTACGATGAGTGCATGTACACACCAAGATCTTCTTTCCAAAGGGATAATACATCGCGGCGAAAAACCACTGGACGGTAATAAATGTGTTAATGTATGTCGACGAAATAATATCCTTCCACATCTTCAGCAAGTTCGATAGTTATTTGAATGATTTTTTAAAACCAAAATGTCGATAAAAACTATTACGCATAATAATGCAGGTAACAAATACACGGGGTAACATAAGTTACGCACGGGTAATCAAAACCCATGACCCACGTGTTTGGATTGACGAAACATGTAGCGTTGGCTATTAAAACAGCTTTTTAACAAATACATGTTATTATCTGCTGATTTGAATTAAAGTAAAGCGTGATAATTAAAATAATTGAAGGACAAGTACTACTCGTAATTACTGAAATGACCATGTACTGCACGTAAAAATACCTATCGTAGTCTATTCAAAATTTTCAAATAAAATATGGAGGTTATTGAAAACTTATTCACTGTTTCTTGAATTCACGGATTTATTAACACCGTGAATATAGCGAATATTAACACCGCGAGTTATTTTCCCTCTATACAGTAGTTCATTTTCATAGAAACGTCTATTTTTAGCCCTAAGTCACTTGCGCAGAGATAGTACTATAAAACCTTGCTAATATAAAGCTTACCTGAATGTTATTAAACGGTTTTTACTAAGTATGCTTTACCCTCATTGATATTCCATTAGTCATTAAGAAAATCTTAGAAAAAATGGTAACTGAAATGGACATGTAACTTGTCATTTTATACAGTCATTCAGATATTCTAATTAAAGTTCGTTATTATGAAAGAAATAATTTAATTGACAATTACATGATCCAGTCTTCATAAAAGGAATTACAAAACAAACAATCATTCTGAGAGTATTGCATTAGCAATACTAGTCCCCTACCGGCAAGTGTAATCTGGTTCCCGTTAGAAATTGAAAATGCCATAATTCAGTCAAAAATCATTGAAGCAGGACGAAATGCAAACTTGATCTATAACTCATCAAGGTTAAGTCACATGCCAAAAATCAGCTCAATATCTGCAAGCGTTTAGAAGAAAATTGCGGAAAACCCCTAAAAATTGAAAAGGCCGTAATTCCGTCAAAAATCAATGAAGCGGAACGAAATGCAAACTTGATCTGTAACTCATCAAGATACACTCACATACGAAAAATCAGCTCAATATCTGCAAGCGTTTAGGAAAAAAGTGCGGAAAACCAAGTGGGACAGACTGACAGACAGACAGAGGGACAGACGGACAGACAGACAGACGGACAGACGGACGGACAGACTCAGAGGAAACCTATAGTCCCCTCCGGTTTCACCGGTAGGGGACTAATAAATGATGATAGAAGAAAAAGAGTTTTAAATCTATTAGTAGTTTTCTAGTGTTGGAATCTTTTCCTAGCTTTGTTTTGATCTTTTGTTCTTAGTTTTTATGAATCTTGAATTTCATTTAGATTTGATCTCTCCCTTTTATACACAGAGGTAGCAAATTTACTTTAGAGAAGCCAAAGATGATCTTTTTTTGACCAGCTTAGTTTACATCATGTAAACAAACAAAAACTTTCATGTCCCAGTGGAAAAGGGAATCAGCCATCCATGTTTCATGATCTCTTTAAGGTCCTGAAATAAAAAAGAATAATCTTATGAACCTTTATGAATGGTTTCCAGAATATTTGTGCTGAGATTGTCTTTCAAAGATATAGTTTTTGAATTCCAGCACTTGTTATTAGTTTAAACTGTGGCATATAATATCAGATTATGATAAGGAGCACAAATGTTTGATATATTTAGCTCAAAATGTAGATCAAAATCTCTCCCCTGATCGTGATGATCAGCAAGGTCCAAGTTATTCAGTGTAAGTTTATCACAATGAGGTGGCATTAAAAAAATCAAGGCTTATTTCAAATAAAATGCCAACTGAGTGTGCTCTGTAAAAATATGACATATTAATAAAAAATGTAACCTCCTATAAAGCAGAGAGAGAGAGAGAGAGAGAGAGAGAGTATGTATTCCAGACATGCCCGCTTCCAAATACCAAGGTTCTATATCTTGCCCAGTATTTTATCCTTGGATCTACACTAACTGTAATCTTCTAGTTGTTGCAGATATCCTCAATCATAAATGATCAGGTGGATTTTGGAGAAGGTCTGATTCGCAGTATCCAGATCGAATTCTTCCTTGTCTAGGTTTCATGCAAATTTTACTCTCATTAATGGATATGTTTTATCTTTGTTTCGGATATTCCGTCTGACCTACGGTTTTATTGTCATCAAAAGTTGCATGGCTACTGCCAGTAAGGAGAGATACTACCAAATATATTTCGAATGCTCCAGGTGACCTATATTTTTTGGATAAAAGATAAAATTTAAATACTAGAGAAGGCCAATTTCAAACTCTTATATTGACTAATCTTTCTCCATGGTTGGAATCTTTATTTGACCAAGAGGGTTTAAAAATTAAAAGGAACTATTGAAATAAAAAAAAGACTAGGGAATGCTATTTTATAAATCGACGTTTCAATTTAATGGATACTAGCATATTAAGAGGATTAGCATTGTAAGATCTTTCAAAATCGTTTATCAAGTTTTGCAGACCAATTATATAAATTGTACTCAAAATACTTTTA